CCTAGAGTTTGAGGTTGCTGTGAGCTGTGATGCCACGGCACTCTACCCAGGGTGACAGCTTGAGACTCTGTCTTAAAAAAAAAAAAATTCATCTTACATTTAATGCATTCTAATTGATTCTTTATAAGAATAAAATGAAGTTAAATATTAATATTTTAACAGTGCTATATTACACAAAGTTACTATTGAAATACTCTATACTTTTAAACTATATTGTAATCTATATTAGTTTTAAATGACTAGATAAGAACGATGGAAATTAATTACATATTTACAACCTCCTTCACTGATTTGCAGGCAAGCAATTTTACTGTCAAAAAACAAATTTTGCTCACGTGTCCTGATGTTTGATGTGAATTATAACTGATATTATTTTAATTTCATCTCTTGTGTGTTGCTTTCCTCATTTGGTGTGATTTGCTCCATTTTCCTAATAGCAATTACTTGGCGAGCTGTCAGAGGTAACCTGCATTCATTCCCTCTTGGCACTTCTTTCTAGTGTAATGTTCTGGATTCAGTCCCTGGACGTAACAACCTCCAAATGTTCCAGCTGTGCTTAGTTTTCACCGTAGAGTTCCACAGAGTCTAAATTTAGAAGAAAAACATGTAATTCAGAGCAGGTTAAAATTTTAAGGACTGTTCAATGTTAATGACTTTGTTGGAGTTACTTGCATAATTTCCCCTCTGAAGCAGTTTCTTGTATGAATCAGGAGCTTGTCTCTCAATATCATTCTTTAATCCTTGAGAATTGCTACTCAACTTTAGTTGCTAAAGAAAGGTGACTTATTCCAACGTAATTATCAATAGGGAAGTAAATTTCCTGTGAGGGCTACTCATTCAGACTTTTTTTCTAAAAGAGAGAGAGATTTTGTTTCAAAGAGAACTTTATATTGGTGGGAAATCACAGGCAAGAGTTGGGAAGTGACGATTACAGTAGGTCCATAACAGGTTGGCCCCCCACCCAGTTTGACCCCAACTGAGAGTTTTGTGGAGATGTGGGACTTACAGTGCTAATTACTGGTAAAGTTCCAGGCAAACTGAGAAGAATTGGTCAGAATTTTGTTTTGGATTTAAAGCTTCAGTTCCATTGGTCTAGGAGAAAAAAGTTCAGAGAGCTCTTGTGCTCCCCGGGACTTTCCATCAGTTGAAGGAACACTGGAATCATCAATGCTGTAGTTTTAACTGGAAATAGCCAAGAGACAGAAAGAATGAAAGAAGAGCAGTGGTTGGTGGGAGGTGCAGAGGAGTGGGGCACCTAGGGAGGGACACAGAAAAGTGGCTGCAGGAGTCAATGGTGATTCTGTTCCTTCCACACCAAGAATTACAAACCAGTTTCCATGGAAAAGCTGTCTTGGTTGCCATTCAGAACAAGTTGTAGTGTTTCAAGGAAAGTACTTTTTTCCTCCTGAAATTGCAGAGGTTGGAAACATGAAATAGGAGGAGAGGACTAAGAATAGAGGAAAATATGCAAGTAAATATAAATTAGGACGTAAGTCATGAAAAATTTTCCTGTGGCTTTCCTTGACTTTAATCAATTATCTGTGTGTGACACACAGACTCACACATATTTTTAAAACCTGTTATTCTATTAGGTCATCCTGATAAAGTTGCATTATGTAGAAAAGGCAGATGAAGGAAGTGAGGCACAGGACATTTGGTGAGCTCATCTTCAGGCTTGATTATGACAACACAGTTGTATTCAGCTTTTCCCAGTATTATTTGATGGATAAAAAAAACACTTGCTGTTCTTGTTTTTATGAAAGCAGAAAATATGAATCATATCATGAAAGGTAGAACTCATGGCGTTTTTTTAAGTGTTAAAAGCAATACTTCAAACTCTGACATTTTGGAAACACTAATATGAGAATTCATTAGCCCCTCATGAAATTACATACAAAGGACACTCTTGTTGACAGAACATTGGCTATATATTGATCAGATGACTTTGGTGTGTGATGAGTATTACATTTTGGTGATATTTGCTGTATTTTGATTGCTCTAAATATTTATTGGCCCAAATATAGGAAGATTGTTTTGTGGGGTATAATGATAATAATGATGCATTCTAACATATGATTGAATACACTAGAAATGTTTCTAGGCCTTGAACTTGGGGATTGGCAATCTCTTTCTGTTCCATCTAACTCCATGGCTTGCTCAGAGAATCTTAACCCTGTAATCCTTCCCTGCCTCTTTCCTCCTTGCCCTCCTTCCTTCTAAATATCTCCCAGCATCATAAACACCTCTTTCAGTTCTAGCTCCCTCCTTGCATAATAACCTTCCCACTTTCTCCACCCCACTGGTTGGTGAGTGGGAGCTTTGAAAGAGGCAGCAGAAAAGAATTAGGGCTCCTGCCCACACAGGTTTCCACAGGTGCTAATTATTTGCTGTGAAGACGACTGTGATGGAGATTGGTGTGTTTTGTTTTGTTTTCTGAGTAATGATTTAATTAAAATGATGTGTGTTTGTGTGATGTGTATTTTTGTTTTTGATCTCTGTGGAAATTCGGGAGGGCTCTTAAAATCAATACTACCTTATATTTGGGCCAATCTTTTAATAGAATTTAAAAGTAAATACTGTTCTAATCAAAGGACCAGATTACCAAAAGGTTGTTTGCATTTTATATGCTAATCTTAAATTTTTGAATAATTAATATTGTGTTATGCATTATCTAAACTTTACCTCAATTATCAGTCATTGCTGTCCCTAATTGAGTCTATAAAGACACTGTGCCTTTTGAGAATTTGGAGCCTCTTACAATGCAGTTATATATTAAAATTATCTTGTTTACATTTAAAGTTTTAACTACTGTGTGTATTTTAATATTAAATGTACATAAATGCTGTTTTATAGTAGCCTAACAATCATGATTTAAAAGTTATTGAAAATCACTTTATTACATCTACTTTTTTGAATACAGAATTCACATACCTTTTTTTCTAGTATATGCTTGTGTGTTGAAATCATAAACACTCAAAAGCCCCCATCATTACCCTCACAACATTTTCATTTTAACAATCAAAATTTGTAATGTTAATAAATTTGCATTGATGGCAGAAAGGGTTATGCCTTGAAAAAAATGAATATTAATATTTTAAAATTATTTGCTGGAAATAGCAGAATTAAAAATCTTTGAAAATAGTATATTTATGTAAAATAAGGAGTGATGCCTCAGTTATTGACATTTAGACTTCCAATGAAATTAGAAGTTATTATTAGTGTAAAGTTTAAAATAATCAGAAATCTTTTGACTTTTCCTATTCTTGTGTGATTCCAAGTCCAAATTCAGTTTCTTTGGCATTTATTATAATTATTTGCCATTGGTCTTATCCTAGATACTCCTTACCTTACATTTTGACTTTGGACAAATATGTAGAATATTTAAAAGATGATTTTTGATGATCATTATACCACATAGGAGTACAGATACATTTGTTACTGGATTACAGATAAATAGCCAACAATATCCTATCAAAGAATAACTAGTTTTCCTAACCTAGATTTATATTTTTAAAATTTTCAAGTTAATTATTTGTCTTTTTATAGAAACAAAGGATGGAGTATGGTCCAAGACCAGCTGATACCCCCTCTGCCCCGTCACCTCCTCCAACACCAGCTCCCGTTCCTGTCCCTTTTCCACCTTCTGCTCCAGCACCTGTTCCTGTGTCAAAGGTCCCTGCAAATGTCACCCGTCAGAACAGCAGCTCCAGTGACAGTGGTGGCAGTATTGTGCGAGATAGCCAGAGACACAAACAACTTCCAGTGGACCGTAAGTTTCCCAGGGAGGCAAAAAAGCTTTTTCTGTGAAATAGAAATTCTACTAAGTAAAATATTGTTTCTTATCAATTCTACTGATATGAAATATTATTAAATATAAAAGCCCTTTATACTTCCGTGGTACTTCATAGACTGCAAAGATTTTTACCTAGTTTCTTATCTTCTAAGCAATTTTGAGAAATAGGAAATTCTCTGTACTCTCTAACATATATATTAATATTCTTCCTCATATTCCAATATATTGTGATGGTTAAATGAAGAGTTTGGAGCCAGAAATACTGGGATTTACTGAAGCAGAGAAGCAATATCTACCAGCCATGTGACCTTCAACAACTCAAAAATCCTCCTTATACTTCAACATCTGAAAAGTGGGGAAAAATTACAAGTATTTGCTTCCTGAGTTAACTTGAAGATTTAAGGAGATAATCCACAGAAAGTATTTAGTTCAGTGGTTCTCAGCCAGAGGTGATTTTATTCCCGCCCCCTCTCTCTGGGGACAGTTAGGGGTTTGTTCATTTGTTGGGAACATTTAGTTTTGCCTAGAGACACTGGTTATCATAACTAGGGAGATACTACTGGCATCCAATAGGTAGAGGCCAGGGATATTTAGCATCATGTTAAAATGCATAGGATTACAATAACAGAATTATCTGTCCCAGAACATCAATGGTTTCAGGGTTGAAAGGTTGATTTTGCCCAACGTATGACACACGATAAACAGTCACTGAATATTAGTGGCTGTTACAATCCTCGTCATCTTCATCGGTACCAGTATCATCCTCATCATCTTCCGGCATCTCTTCCTCATAGTCGCTATTCTCACAGTCACACCAGCTAAATATAATCACCTGCCAATAGAAGTCTCATATTTACCCTCCAAATTCAGATTTCAGCCTTGTATCTTCGTGAAGTTAAATTTGATTTTTCATAAAACAATTTCTATGAAAACCATATTTAAATAAAGTAAGAGAAAAGATGCCACGGCCAACCTGTGGATTACTCTAATTTGTATTGGTGAGCAGCAATGTAGCTATATTGAAAACTGAAGGTAATTCTAGGATAATTCTTACTTTGTTTTACCTTTTAGTACATAGCATGTCTATGCAGTTGTGACGGTTAAGTTCATGAACTCAAGCTAGGAAAACTGCTTTATACCTCATTGCTGAATATCCCTGTGGTCACTTTTGAAGTACTTCCCTTAGGAAGCTACACACTGATTCCAGTGCCTAGTCCACCCTTCAAAACAATTTTGGAGCTCTCTTTCTGAAATGACCATCAGAGCTGTTTTTGTCTCGCACAAAAGCGCGTAACAATAATGATGAACACTACTCAGCAAGACACTGTGACATGTTGACACAAACCCAGCTGTGACACACTGATATACCAAGGTTATGAAACCATATCAAGTTGTCTGTACAGTGCTGCCAGAGTAAGCATCAAGTTTATGAACTTAATAGTCAGACGTCTTCCTTCCACAGTCTGATAGTCATTCCAGAAAGAGTTCCAAAATTGCTTTGTCAATGCACAGCTTCCAAAGGGGAATCCTTCAAAGGTGACCATAGTGATCTTCAGCAGAGAGGTATGTAGCACTTTTTCTAGGTTGAGTTTGCATACTTAATTGTCAGACCTCGTATTATAAAATGACTTTGCTTTACCCATACTTGATAGACAAAAACTCTTGGAAAACTAGAGCCAGGAAGACAGTCCACATTTTCGCAATATGATAAAAGTATATAAAGGGTGTGTGTGTCATAGCTATCAGTCTCTCAGGACAGGCCTCTCCCAGGGTTCTGAATTCTTTTCTTTATATGAACATATTTTCACTGTAAATGATCAATCAATTTCCATTTCTTTCAATACTATATGTATGTTGTTGGAAAAGGAATAATTCCAAAATACTATCTCTGACACGCAGATATTTGTATTAAAATACTAACTTTATGTCTGTGTTTGAATGTTTGAGATTCATGTTCAGAACTAAATTATTGAATCTTTCATTCCCATTTTCACTCCACTGTTTTGTTTTTCTTTTGTTTGTTTGTTTTTTGAGACAGAGTCTTACTATGTTGCCCTCAGTAGAGCACTGTGGCATCATAGCTCACAGCACCCTCAAACTCTTGGGCTTAAGCAATTCTCTTCCCTCAGCCTCCCTGGTAGCTGAGACTACAGGCACCCACCACAATGTCCGCTATTTTTCTATTGCAATTGTCATTGTTGTTTAGGTGGCCCAGGCTGGGCTCAAACCTGCTGGCCCCGGTGCATGTGGCTGGCACCCTACCCACTGAGCCATGGGCACTGCCAGTTATGGTCATTCTTGATAAATTAAAAAATTTGAAAAATGAAGGCATTAAAACTATTTTATTCTAGAAATTCTGATTACATGCAATAAGCATAACTTTTATATTTTGCTTTCTCTCCCAAAGTAGAGACTGGTTAAATAGCCTTCTTATCTACATCTTGACCTTAGCAGAAAACTAAAGGAAAAAAGAAGTTTTGGAAAAGTGGCTAACACTTTCTGTGCAGCAAAAATAATCATGTGTGTATGAGTATATGTGTATAACTTCAACATAACGTGCTACTATATTTTTAGAGTCTGTGTGAATTTTATTTTTTTAAGATGTTCTTTCTTTATTCAGAGACACCAAAGCCATAGTTTTAAGATGAGAAAGTTCTATAAACATTTTTACTAATTTCCCTAAGGACAAATTCCCTCCTTCAAATGACCATTCCTTTCTTTATTCTTACCACAAGTTTATAAAACTTCCCTGCTCTGATACGTGAGCACAGTAATCTTTGACACTGTGGTGCTCTTTTTCCAGGCCTAGGATCAGAGGTCATGGGCACGTAGTCCCCATCTGGAACAGTGTGTGGGTTGGGACTGTTTGTTCTTCGTCCACTCCAGGAAGTCAAGAATAACCTAATGGGAAAGAGACGTAGTTTGAATCCTTTTAAAGACAGAGGATCCTCCTGACAGTTGTGACTCATCATTGTCCGATCTCTTTTTCGCAAGTAAAAGGGTGACACATGGGGATGCGAAATATAAACATCTCTCCCGAAATTAACACATGTACTTGTTTCTTTAAGATAATAGAATCTTGCCATTACTCTGTAGGTTTCCTTTTTAAGATAATCTCAAAATATAGTTTGACATTAAATAAACGTATTTCTTTTTGTAAGACAAATATTTCTTGACAGGATTTTGTTGAACAATAGTTTCTTTCTTCTGAATGAATGTTTGGACTTCTCAACAGTCTTTAGAATCAGATAGACGTGTTTAAATGCATATGTACTGATAGCCAGATTTCTCTAAAAATAGTATTCATGCTACCTACATTTCCTGCTTACTGCCTAAACTTTTGGTAAAAATAAAATGGAAGAAACTAGAGATTGAATACACACAAAAATGTTGTCCATAGCCATCAACAAGGCAAAACAAAATGCCTATTAAAAAAATGTAGCAAGTGGCAAGAATGAGCCCGTTTGTGCTGAAGCTTAACTGTGTGTTGCCTATTCAAGATCTCTGTTTGGAACTGTGTGTCCTAAGCTATTCAAATTGATTTATCTCAAAATCCCAAAGGTTCTCCTCTTATCACTTTTGAAGGGGCCAACACTTTAGTTGCTTTGTATTTCTTACAGTTCCTTTGAAATGCCAGTCCTTTTATGTGAGTTTAATCTTTTGTAATCAGAAGTGTTATTTTAGAAAGAGGTGTAAAGTTAGTCTTGTTTGTTGTTGTGTGCTAGAACATTGAAAATGGAAACCAGAAGCCAGGCACAGTGGCTCAACGCCTGTAATCCCAGCACTTTGGGAGGCTGAAGTGGGAGAATCATCTGAGCCCAGGGGTTCACAGCCAACCTGGGCAATGTAACGAGATCTTGTCTGTACCAAAAAAAAAAAAAAAAGTTTAATTAGTCAGGCATGGTGGCAGGCACCTATTGTCCCAGCTGCTCAGGAGGCTGGCGTGTGAGGGACACTTGAGACCAGGAGTTTGCAGTGAGCCATGATTGTTACCATTGTGCCTCTGCCCTGTAACCTGGGTGACGTAATGAGACCCTGTCTCAAAAACAACAACAACAACAACAAAAAAAAGAGCACATTTTAAAATCAAAAGGAGGTGTTTTATACTCCCTATAAAACTACATTTTGAACTGGTGATGACCGATACAGTAGCTAAATCAGTGGATAAGAAAATCTCTTGGTGTAGTGATACTTTTTCTTTTTTATTCCTTTGGTATGCCCCCATATGTTGTATGGCAGTGTGACACAGTGATTTTGAAAAGTTAATGAAATGCGTGTAATGTGTTACTCAAATGTGATGATCAGTAGTACTCTCCTTTTCTCCAGGCGCCCTTTCCTTCCTTCTTCGCCTCCTTTCCCCCTTTGATTTCTCTTGCAAAAGGTTTCCTACATACTTGAGAAACTAAACAAAATTAGACTGAAGTAATTCTATCTAATTACTTCCCCTTACTTCCCAGAGGCACCAAACACTTTGTAAAGCTCCCTCCCTGGGGATGGGATTGCTGACAACGGTCACCAAAAACTCCTTGAATGACCAGGTCATTGCTGTTGGCCAGGTTCACTAGTTACTAGATTACTCTATTCAGTTTTTTGTTCTTAATTCTTAAAAGTGACATGCAAATAACTGACTCTCCCTGTGTACATGTGCACAAGTATTTCTAAAATGCACAAACACATTGTTTCCTAGACTTTTATTTCTTTCCCATTTTTCTAATAGCAGCTTGTTCATAGGCACATCGTTCTCATTAGCATAAAATGGCCAGGGGAGGATAGTTAGGTGAGTTCACCAAAGGCAGTTTCAGTGGCTTTGACTTTAAAACATCCCTGAGCTAAAAGTCAGAAGATCTAGTTTTAGCAAACTTTTACTAATTAAAATGTGACTCTGACAGATCATTTATCTGCTTTTGGTCTCCATTTTCTTATCTGGTTATTAAGGAGTTTGTATGTGATGATTTTTCAAAGTCAGTCTCTCTCTCTCTCTTTCTCTTTCTCTCTCTCTCTCTCTGTGTGTGAAAAAGTCACCAGAATTCATTTATTCAGTAAGCATTTATTCCTGTTGCTGAGGATATAGAAGCAAAACAGGTAAAACTCCAGGATTGTGTCCTGAAGGACTTTACTATAACTTAGTTGGAGAAATGGGAAGATTCAAAAAAGGATGCCAAGAAGGAATAGCCAGCAAGATGAGAAGAAAGCCAGGTGCCAAGAAGGAGTAGCCAGCAAGATGAGAAGGAAGCCGGGAGAGTGTGGTGTCTAGAGGCCACAAGGGAAAAGTGCTTCAAGGAGGAATCACCTGCTTCAGATATTGCTGATAGGTTAACGAGATAATGGCTGGGAAGGAACTGGCTGTAGTTTAGAAAAGTGTAATAGAGAGATAGGGACGAAAGCAGTGAGTTAGGATGGGCACAGGGGCTCACATCTGTAATACTAGCCCTCTAGGAGGCTGAGGAGGGTAGATTGCCCCGAGCTCAGAGGCTCGAGACCAGCGTGAGCAAGAGCGAGACCTCATCTCTAAAAATAGTAGCCAGGTGTTGTGGCCAGTGCCTGTAGTCCCAGCTGTTTGGGAGGCTGAGGCAAGAGAATCGCTGGAGCCCAAGTGTTGAAGGTTGCTGTGAGCTATGACACCATCGCCCTCTACCAAGGGCGACAAAGTGAGACTCTGTCTCAAAAAAAGAAAAGCAATGAATTAAATTTAAACAAATTTAAAAGAATATAGAGTAGGAATTGGAGTCAGCTAGTGTAGACAACTTTGATGGAGTTTTATAAAAATAAAGGAGCAGAGACGTGCAGTACCTGGGAAGGGAAATGCTAAAAAGGGCCTATTTAAAGCTGACAGAAATAGTAAGAAAATAGTTGCGTATGTATGTGCTAATGAAATGATTCAGCGGAGGAAAATCGATAACATAGGATATATAAGGGAGAAATGACCATCAGAGTATTTGAATAGACAGAGAACTTGGAGTGAAGAATAGACAGAGAACTAGTGCATGTAAGACGGTTGGCCTCAGGAGCATGGAGCAGTCCATCTGTAACCCAGCAGGAAGGGAGGCAGAGCGCGGGGGAAAGGGCTGGGAGAGGGAAGGATCACGAGGAGAACTTACAGACATTCTCTTCTAACTCCTTTCCTTTATTCAGAATTGAGGAAGTGACGTCAATAGACCAACGTGAGAACAGGGAAATAGAATTAGAAGGTTACAGAATTTAAATACTCGTCTAAGACAGTGGGCAATTATATGGTCCAAAGTAGGGCTTCTTAACCAGCGACTTCTGCCAGCTAAGGCTGGCTTTTTCTCTGCGGTAGGAAGCAGGCGTGTGCACTGTGGAATGCTGGTGCCACCAGACCTCTCCCCACTGCACCACAGCCGCAGCCTTCCCTCCCTTCCTCAACTGTGACAACCCAAACTGTCTCCAGACATTGCCAAATGATCCATAGGGTCAAAATTGTCCCCAGTTGAAAGCCACTAATCTAAAGAGATGCTATTGATTGTCAGGAAGATTAACAACCAAGTTGAGGTTCCTAATCATGAATTTAACATGAGATCATTCAGCACTGTTGTGTATATTCAGCTGTGCAGGTGCAGGGACAGAATGAGCAGAAAGTTAGATTTAACCAGGTTGGGGTTTTGCCAAATGAGTACGATGAAGAGACAAGAGAAGAGCCAGGGGAGTTATTTTAATAATTGATCGTGGAATTGACACTAAGTGAAGATAAAAGCCAGGAAAGGTGGTCCGAACGCTGGACTGTAAATCCTACTAGGGTCAAAGGATTATTGGGATTGGGATTCTAGAGGGAGTGATCAATATTAGGGATTTTCAAAAGTACCCCCCTCCCTGTTATTGTCTAGGAAGGAAATCTCAGATGGAGGAAGTGCAGGATGAACTCCTCCAGAGGCTGACCATTGGTCGGAGTGCCGCTCAGAAGAAGTTCGTGCCACGGCAGAACGTGCCAGTTATCAATATCACTTACGACTCCTCGCCAGAGGATGTGAAGGCATGGTTACAGTCGAAAGGATTCAACCCAGTGTAAGTCTCTGTAAAGCATGCCTTGGTTACTTATATGTCATAAATGACTCTTAAAAAATATAAGAGCACAGCAGGTCCACTTGGCTCCGTACTCAGGCAATGGCTAGCTATTCATACCTAAGAAAGAACTGGAAGAAACAGAAATAGTGATCTTTTGATGCCATTTCATTTCTCGTTGGTAGTGTCTGTTCATCCTTGGTTCTTGAAGCAAACTGTCAGCAGCTTTGGGGCCTGGAAGCTTTCTTTCTCCCTCATCAAGTTGCAGAGAGTAGGACCATGGTCTTAGCTGGATTCCTCCAACCTTGTCGGACATACAGTATCAGTTTGCCTCCTGCTGAAGAGTAAAGCAGCTCAGACAAATAAAAATGAGATAACTTTACCTATCATCCAACTTAATCTTAATAGACCCTTATTTTTAATAAACCCATAGTAAAAGTTCTATTTATTTATCATCTAATAGGCTATAAACATTTTATGTGTATTTGGTACAATTATTTGAATGACACATGTTAAGGGGACTTACATGTATCACCTGTTTTACAAAGTCTTTACCAGGAACTACAAATCACCTGTCAACAACTGAACAATGAAATGCAATGGTTAATTGCTAGATTCCTAGGAAGTTATCTATTTATTCTATGAAACACCAAATTTAAGGAATTGATATTAATGATATAAATCCAATTGGTTTCTTTTTGCTTCTTCATGATCAATCATCTTATATAGCCTCAGAATCATCATCATGATAGAACTTGTCATTGCCATGACTTAGCAATGTAGTGCCATTTAACAAGAGTTCAGTGTGTGGAACACTTAAAGAAGTCACTACCAAGAACAGAAAATTCTCTTTTTTTTTCTAGGCAGTATTTCAATGCTTTGTTCTTTTTTCTTCTGTTTTCTCAGGACTGTCAATAGTCTTGGAGTATTAAATGGTGCACAACTTTTCTCTCTCAATAAAGATGAACTGAGGACAGTCTGCCCTGAAGGGGCCAGAGTCTTTAGCCAAATCACTGTACAAAAAGCTGCGTTAGAGGTATGGCTTGTCAACCTAAGGTGGTTTTTTGTTTATTTGTTTGTTTTCCTGTATTTGTCAAGAGTATTGACTGCAAATCTGAGCTTTGGAAACAATCGTGTATGTTCCTATTGGCAAATTTCTCTTTCTTACAGCAATAACTTAAAGTTAACTTCCGTAAATTTGTCACTGAAGACCATCAATGACCATTTGCAAGGAGATTAACTTATTATAAATACTCATTAAATTGAAGCTTGAGCATATACTTTTGGACACTTAACAAAAAACATAATGTTCTCATTTTGTATTCATTAACTACTTCTATAATAATTTTAATTTCAATACAATATGAAAATTTACTTCCATTGGAGTAAATGCCTTAAGAAACCAGAACTCTTTTGCCTATTCTTAATACTTAGTTTGGAGGTTCTAATAAGTTATAGATTATAAGGTGTAAACTCTTGGCTGTGTGCCTTAGGTCTGGTTATACATCTAAATAATCAGGGAGAAAATATGTTAGTAGGGATCATTGCAAATAGAGAGCCCTGAAGAGTACTTAGTCATAGTTGTCTGAATGAAGGCAGTAAGTGTTTTCTAGATTAGACATACTTAAGCTTCCAATATCCTACTCTACTTACAATGAGCTACGTAAGGGTAGTAGTTTCCAACTGTTATATCTCACTGCTTTTAATAATTTCATGAAAATTACACTTGGACTCCACTGAAAGGATCTAGGCTTTGGCGTGAAATTGATACCTAATTATCTCTAGCAGGTATTATATGAATTCAACAGTTAAATAACTCAGGGTAAAATATATTCATTCTTAAAACACTGTAGCCATTCTAAATCAAGAGATATTATACTTCCTTTGGAAGATATTCCTACAACATTGATCCCAGGGGTTCTGTATTAGCCTTTGATATGATTACTTTCTGTATGTAGAATATGAATAAGGATTATGTTTTTTCTCAGCTTTATTGCCATTATGCATTCTAATTCTGTAGGGAGTATATAAATGACTTCTTAAAGGTATGTTAGAAAATTCCACATTCCTAAAATTCCACATGCCTTATTCCAAGGGAAATATAATCTCTCTTGATTGAGAATGGCTACAGTGTTCTACAAATGAGTGTATTTTACCCTGAGCTATTTAACTGTTGAATTTATATAATACCTGCTAGAGATAAGTATGATCAGAACTTAATCCAGAGCTGCCTATCATTGTCATTTGCTTTCACTGCTCACTTTACTGTGGTCTGTTGCTGCCTGTTGCCTTGGATGTGAACTGAGGCTGACTTCCTGAGGTTCTACCTATTCCCTAGCCACCTTCCCACCTCACTCTAATCTTGGATCTAGTTCATCTTTTAGATTACTCACTTATGTTGCTAGAAGACTTTTGTGGCGAAGCGTGTAATAAGGGGAAGGCACACAGGGATATTAGTAGGGCTGGTAAAAGAGAAAAGCCAGCATGGCATTATCAGATGGTCAAACTGTATGGAGGAAAACGGGGTGAATTCAAAGCCCACTCTGTGGACTGAGTTAAATCTCCTAAACGCAGATCAGTATCTTGCTTGACCACCCCCCCCAAAAGAGTTCTTTGGTAATTTCCCATCTTACTGTGCTTCTTGTACACACATACACATGCCCTCTTTCTCCTAGGAAATCTGGAGTATTCCACATGCATCTTTGATTTATCTTTATCATATTCATATGAAAAATGGTGAATTAATTACATTAAGGTACTTTATAAACTGGAAAATTGTTAATGTGATATATTAGTGAAGTCCAGGAGCTCCATTTATATGAAGGACATTCTATAGTTTTCCCAAAGAAATACTAGAAGAAAACTACCTGGACTTTTAGCTTGAGCCATTTTGGTACATGACCCATAGCCCATGCAAATTAGTAAAAAATCTTGTTTGAATCTTATTTTTCAGGATAACAATGGCAGCTCTGAATTGCAAGAAATTATGCGAAGACGACAGGAGAAAATCAGTGCTGCTGCTAGTGATTCAGGAGTGGAGTCTTTTGATGAAGGAAGCAGTCATTAATTTGTTTTTAAACTCCATTATTCTTGACATTATTCTAACACGCTTTGTTTTAAGAAGCCTTGAAGGGAATGTCAGAGTCACTTTTCTTGGGATAATTTATCATGGTAGAAAAACCAATAGAAATCTGAGTAAGCAGAGGATTTGCTTCTGGAATCATTATTTTTATTAAAACTGAAAAGTTTTAAACTGAATTTTTTGATGGGAATATTTTTCCTACTTTACCCAGGTGAGGTTTCCTTTATTGGATTAAATATTTCATCGCTATCTGAGTGTATATGCAGAAATTTTTTTGACAGCGGTAGATTTATTTACTGCAAGATAGTGAAGATATTAGTGATCATTCAAAATCTAAATGATTTCACTTTTGCCTGTGAATATTATATCTGTCATTCAGGGTGTAGCTCACTTTAGACTAGTCTCTGCTTACTTAGGTTTCCTCTCTGACACAGTCAGGATAACAATATTTAGATTTATTTAAAGTTCTTAATGCCAACAGTTAAAAAATTGAAACATTTGAATGAACTATAAAGTATAGTCAGGCCTTGGACTTGCAAATAACGACCTATGGAGCATTTGCAGACGTTTTATTTGTCATGGCTCTGTTGATCACAGTTCCTTGTATAGCTTGTATTTTGATTTAGTTTATATCTGCTTATTATGTATACCGTGTTCTTGTATATGAGAAAGCACAAGTGGAAAAAAGGTCATGTATGCTCACAATCTGTGAAAGGAAATAGCCTGCATTGGTGTGAATTATGGTATTTTGCTTAATGAAGGCCTCAGTTTTGAATAGTGAGATAAGTAGTTTAAAGGAAATTGGGGCCATTTAATGTGTTTATCTGTGTCAAGTCTTTCTGGTAATAAGAAATGCTTAATTTACACATATTTTAATCCTGTGAAAGATATTAGATAGAGAAAAGAAAGATACTTAACCTTCAACAAATGTTATTTTTGGAAAACACAATTTTTGTCATTAAATGTTATATTATTTCACATATATAAAACAGATGTTATGTAAGAATGTTGTATATTTTAACATAAATCCATTTAGAGAGATTATCTAGATTCATTAATTTTCATAGTGCCTTTTTCACATGAGTCAGCTGGAAAGTCTGCAATAAACAGTATTTGCTGTATGTTAATAAATGGCTTCTGTCTTGTTGGCAAAAAGGATCTTTGCTGTGTAGACGAGGGACTAGAGTTGAACAGAATGGGAAAAAAATAGGGGTCTACTTTTTTTTGAAGCAACGTATCACTCTACTTCTGAGTGGGTAGAAACCACTCTAGAAACGTCTTCTAGAAACCACTCTAGAGTACTTTCTTCAGTTGTTTTTCTTTCACTTCTCTTATAATCTTTGCCATCTCCCTCCTAGTCACATTTGGTAACAGTAGTGAAAACTTATTGCTACATGTTTCTACATAAATACTTTACTGGATATCTACAATAACTCTATGAATTTTAATTTTATGGATGAAGACCTTGAGCCACTTACTGGTTAGTTTTCACCAGTTTGTGAAGGATGGGAGAGTCTCTCATCTACCGCCTCTGTCTCTCCATAACACCGCCCCTTGGATAAAGTGGAGCAAATGTCTAAATAATAAAGAATTAATGTGGCTCTTTTACATTTCATAAACACCGACATATATTTATAACTTAGCCTTTATAGAAGATCTCTGAAAAAATATAGGGATGAGACAAAATCAGATTAATAAATCTTAATGAATAAGATCTTAAATAAGATTAATAAATCTTAATAAATTATTATTATTATTATTATTATGCAGTTTTTGACTGGGGCTGGGTTTGAACCCACCACGCCACCTCCAGCATATGGGGCTGGCGCCTAACTCCTTTGAGCCACAGGTGCCACCCAAAATTAAAGATTTAAGCTAACCTCTGTGTAGGGAAGCATATCTGAGGCCAGGGACGATGGCTCACACTTATAATCCTAGCACTCTGGGAGGCTGCCGGGGGTGGATTGCTTAAGCTCAGGAGTTTTAGACCAACCTGACCAAGAGCAAGACCGCGTCTCTACTAAAAATAGGAAAAATTAGCCGAGCTTTGTGGCAGGTGCCTGTAGTCCCTGCTACTTGAGAGGCTGAGGCAAGAGAATCACTTCAGCCTAGGAGTTTGAGGTTGCTGTGAGCAAGAGCAAGACCGCGTCTCTACTAAAAATAGGAAAAATTAGCCGAGCTTTGTGGCAGGGGCCTGTAGTCCCTGCTACTTGAGAGGCTGAGGCAAGAGAATCACTTCAGCCTAGGAGTTTGAGGTTGCTGTGAGCTATGATACTGCCATGGCACTCAACCCTAGGATGACAGAGTAAAACTCTGTCTGAAAACCAAAAAAAAAAAAGGAAAAAAGAAAACCCATGTCTGATATTAAAGAATTGGTATAATGTATATCTTTATGCTATAGTATGCCAAAGGAAAAAATACCGCAAAGGAAATAATTGCAGGAGGCAGTTCCCCCACTAAGATTCATGGAATTTAGAAGCTTGAGGGAAAGGCACTGCGGGGTGTATGTAGATCCAGACACCTGAGGAGTTGGCCACTGGTGCCTAAGAGTTTGGAGGAAAGACCCCACAAGGCTGGCAAACGAACCTCTGAGAAGGGGGCCCAGGCTAACTGATGCTATTGCATCAGGAGTTCAGAAAAGAATTCAAGAATTGAAAAATGCTCATAAGATCCATGGAGGTGGGCCTTGGACCTTCGAGGAGAATGTAGCGGACAGCTTGTCCTTGACTCTCTTAAGAGGGCACAGTGAGGCTGACTCCAGGAACCTGGGAAGACGCAGATGTTAACATAAACCAGCTAGTTTTACTGGGAACCATTTGCTGTTTGGAGAGTGAAGAATCGTCGTTAGGATGACATTGATGGGAGCAGCAAGTAAAGCAGTAAGAGGAGTCTCTTGCTGCCCCGCTAGTCTCCCCATAGCACAAGCTCTGGGCAGAGTCTCACACACCACCAGGCAAAGCCCCTGATCTCACAGATCGGGATAAAGGGACATGCTCTAAGCTGAAAGAACAGCCTGTAACTCATTCTAGCCACTAGTTGCTTAGCCCCTCCTCTTGCTCTTCTCTGCATAGTTAAAATTATATAGAACAATACTTATTTAAGCTTATGATTTTGCCTAACCATATGCAGTCATTCTGTTATTTAAACAGTATTTAATACAGAGTTTTAATGTAAAGAATTGACTAAACAGGCAAAAGAAAAAAAAAATGCAGATACCACAGAGGTAGTAATAATCGGAAGCCCCTCCCACCCCTAGGGCTGGAGAGCAAAGAGATGGGGTGGGCTTATTATGAGCATAGAAGTCTGGAAGGACGGCCCTCGGAAGCTTGAACTTCGACCCATAAGGAGGAAGCACTGTGCCAGAGGCTCAGAGGGGAGACTCCCTGTAGGGCAGGGGCACTCTTTTTTATTTTTATTTTTTAATTTATATTTTATTTCAAATTAATAGGAGGATACCAATTCTTGGGTTACATTGTTCTCACTTCCAGGGTGAAGTTCCTTTTATAAAAGAGCCCCTTGGCCAGGGGGCGTTTTACACAACATCACAGTGTGCACATTAGATGAGATCCCACCTCATGCTCTCCCTCCAGCCACTCCGTCCTCACCCTTCCCCTCCAGGGACAGAGACTCGTGAGGAAGGGACTCTGGCCAGTTGATGCAGGTACCTCTGAAGGACTGCAAAGATATAGTTCTGAAAATGTAGAGGTAAAAACTGGAAACTGGATGTATCCACTGCTACCAGAATCACCTGTTGGTGCCTGAGTGAAGATCTGTTCTCTTCACTGGCTTACAGCCTTTGAGTTTTGTGTGCCTTTGTATAGTTTCGTTTTTTTTGTTTCTGGTGTTTAAGAACAGTTTCTTGAAACTGTGAAACTATAGTTTTTGTTAAATTTGGGAAAATTTAAGCCATTATTGCTTTAATTTTTTTCCTGTGCCTCCTCTTCTTGGAAGACTCCCATTTCATGTATATTGGACTACATAACGACTTCCCAAGGTAATATTTTGCCAAATTTTTTTCTGTTTCATTTTTGGTAGTTTCTTTTCCTATTGCCAAGTTCACTAACCTTTTCTTCTGCAATTTCTAATCAACTTTTAAGTTACTTCTATTGTAGTTTTATCATCTCAGACATAGTTTTTTTTTTTTTTTGTAGCCCTCGATAGAAGGCTGTGGCATCACAGCTCACAGCAACCTCAAACTCTTGGGCTCAAGCGATTCTCTTGCCTCAGCCTCCCAAGTAGCTGGAACTACAGGCGCCCACCACAATGCCTGGCTATTTTTTGTAGCAGTTGTCATTGTTGTTTAGCTGGCCCAGGCTGGGTTCAAACCCACCACCTTTGGTATATGTGACTGGCACCATTAACCACTGTGCTACGGGTGCTGAGCCTTAGACAGTTTTTATTTCTAAAAGTCTGACTTGGGTGTTTTGTTTCTTAAAATATCTTTCATGTATCCACTTGCTCAGTATTTTCTCAACTTTATCGATTATGAAGAATATAGATGAAATTATGACTATTTTCTTCTTTTAATTTTCTTTTTTTTTTTTTGAGTCAGACAATGAAGACTAATATGTTTAAAAGCAATCATTATATAAAGGGAGGAAATTAGAAAGTCATAGTGTAAGTCTCAGAGAGAACACAGGCTCAGAGAGCACCTGAGAAGAAGATATTAAGTTTACACCTTATGCTGATCCTCAGCAGAGACCGTCTACAATAATTAAAACAAAATCCAGCAAACTCTGGGGAAAAGGAGGAATCTGACATTCAGAGTTAACACATTATTAGATGCAAATGCCCCATTTTTAAGGACAGCAACTACAACAAAAATCACCAGGCATACAAAGAAATGGGAAAGTATAGTCTTTTCAAAGGAGAGAAAAAATAAAACAACCATCCCTGTAAAAGACATGGCAGATCTATAAGATATAGACTAAAACTATGCTTTAAAGATACAGAACTAAAGGAAAATGAGGGGAAAATCAGGAAAAAGGTACGTGGACAAAATGGAAATTATAATAAACACATAATGTATAGGGGAAAAAATCTGGAGCTGGAAAGTACAATGGTGGAAAGGAAAAATTTATTAGAGTGATTCAGAGGTAGACTGAGCAGTCAGAGGAAAGAAGCAGTGAAGTTGAAGACAGGACAATGGAAATTCTGAGAAATGGGACAAAAACATATTGAATAAGTAATGAACAAGTCCTCAGTTACCTGTAGAAAACCATTAAGAAGACCAATGCATGTATTGGGGGAGTCTTAGGAGAAAAGAGAAAAAACAGAATATCTGAAGAAATAGTGGCCAAAACCTCCTGAAATTTGATGAACGCATGAATATCAACACCCCAGAAACATAACTAACTCCAAATAGGATGATTCAAATAGTCACCACTGAGATACATTATAATCAAAGTAACAAAAGCCAAAGAATCCTGAAAGCAGCAAGAGGAAAGTGACTCACTATATACAAGGAATTATCAATGAGATTTTATCAGCAGATTTCTCATCAGAAACTTTGGAGACCAGAGGCAGTGAACTGATATACTTAAAGGGCTAAAAGGGAAACTTTAAACCAAGAACAGTATATAATAGAGCCTCCATAGTTGACCACCTCCCTACACTGACCATCTCCTTAAGTTGACCTAATGTTCATAAACTGGACATATACCACATATATGTACCAGTACATTAGGCCTACCTCCTAATCTTGACCACATCTATATGTTGACGAGTTGGTTGTAGTCCCATGGGTGGTCAACTTATGAAGTTCTACTGTATGTGGCAAAACTATCCTTCAAAGCGAAGGAGAAATTATGAAAAACCAAAGATGGAGTTTATTACCAGTAGACCTGCCCTCCAAGAAATGCTAAAGGGTATCCTAGAGGTTGAAATGAAAGGACATTGACAGTAACTCAAAACTATATGAAAAAATAAAGATTTCAGTAGAGGAAAATATACAGGTAATTATAAAAGGTAGTATTATAATAATTGTGGCTAATTTTTTTGTTTTTTATATGATTTGAGAGACTAATACTTTTTTTTTTTTGGTGGTTTCTGTCTAGGGCTGAGTTTGAACCTGCCATCTCTGGCATATGGGGCTAGCGCCCTACTCCTTTGAGCCACAGGTGCCTCC